TCGTGCACCCAGCCTAATTGGATGTGAAATCCTGTATGTGAGGAAGTGGATAGCGGTCTGGTAAGGTGTGGGCATTGAGAGCGCGGTAATCCCCACATGGTTTCCAGTCGCCAGGATCTATCTTCGGCACCATGTGGAGTGGCGACACCAAGTTGCTGGAGGAAGGCCGCACAATGCCGACTTCAAGCATGTGCTCAAACTCACGGCAGGCGATGGCGAGGCGTTCTCCAGATAGTCGACGCGGTCGTGTAAAAATGGGAGGTCCAGTGGTCACAATGTGGTGAGTGATGGAATGCTTCGCCGGTGACTCTCTGGTGTGCGGCTTTGTGATGCTGGGAAAGTCGTCGAGTATTTTTGCATACGGCGAAGCAGGTGTGAGAGCTCGCAGTCCCGTTGGCGAGGAAGTACAGAGTACACCGTTGATGGAGAGGCGGGTGTTGAGATCAATGAGGCGATGAGCATGCATGTCCACAGCAAGGTTGAAAAAACTGATGAAGTCAGCTCCAATAACAGCTTGCGAGACGTCAGCGAGGATGAAAATCAAGCGGAACGTACGGCGTAGTCCAAGGTCAAGTGTAAGAGAGCGTTGGCCGTATGTGCGAATGGCGGAATTGTTGATCGCTTGGAGTGGGCAGGTCTGTTCGTTGCGACGGCGATCTGCACATGAGGCCGGGATGACGCTAACCTGGGCTCCTGTGTCGACTAGGAAGCAAGCGCCAGTGATCTTATCAGAAACATAGAAAAGGCGGTATGACTTTCGACTAGTACCACTTGTCGCCGTCAGTGGCCAGTCGTCGCATTTCCCGACCAGGAGCACGGGCGAGTGCACTTGCGAGCAGAGGCACCGAATCGGCGGTGGTACCAGGACACGGTTGAGGATGAAACGTCCCGCGGCGCGTCGGGTGGCCGAAGTTCCGGAGAACGTGGGGGCGTTGAGAAGCGACTGTGTATCTGGAACCTGGATGACGGTTGATGATGCGCAGGTACAAAGTCATCGAGGCGCCTGACAATGGCGTCCAAACGGTTCTTGATGCTCGCGAGCGCCGGGCCTGCAGCGGTGGCCGGTGGCTGTGTGTAACGGCGTTGAGGCTATGTGCCCGCGAGCAGTCCGCCACTCGGTCAGCCATTTCAGCGAGTGTGTCTACTGGGATATCTCCTGCAGCTACGAGGACCGGGACCATGCTCTGCGGTAAGCGCTGGAGGAACAACTCACGTAACAGCTTCTCCTCTTGAGGGGCGGAGGGGCCGCCAAGGAGCTGGCACACGCGTCTCAGGAGCTGTGATGGGCGACGGTCACCGAGCTCTGTAGCCGCGATGAGCTGTTGGAGTCTGCTGTGTTCGGACTCAGACTTGCGGGAAATGATAGCTGCCTTCAACGTGTCGTAGGGATGGCTCGGGTATGGCGACGCTAAAATATCAGCTAAGTCCTCGGCTACGTCAGGAGGTAAGCAAGATACCAAATCCCAGTGCCTGGTCTGTTGGCAGGTGAATTGCCGTAGACGGAAGTGCACCTCGACCTGCAGAAACCATGTGCGGGGGCTGTTGGGCCAAAATGGTGGCAGGTTGACATGTTGAATCGCAGCGACTGCAGCACCGCTAGGTCTGGCGTCTTCTTGGGCGTCAGGACCGGTAGAATTGGTGGCAGAGCCGGCGGGATCCATGCGGGATGATCGGGGCTGTGTGTTCTTTATCGGGTCATCATTAACTGCCGGAGCTAACACGGGAAAGATCCAGCCCTGACAGCGTTCAGTTTTTGAACTGATTTTTTTTCATTATCGCGCTGCACCCGCCGCGCGGCCCAAATGCCAACTTCTTCTTCCTTGACGAGCGGCGCATTGAGGCGCTACAGACTCATCGTCCAGGTTGCGTAGAGTCTTGTTGATTACTCGATCCGGGCCCAGAGCATAGTTGGTGTTGAGGTTGCTTAAAACTGCCCTAATTTCAGCTTTACAAAACTCCGCGTCTAGCTTCCCACTGTTGTCTCCCTCATACATTGCGTGCTGTGTTGTTCCTCCTGCTTTAAAATAGCGCTCGCCAACAGCCTCAAGAAGTTCATCTGGCGTGCACCCAAAGTCACGTACGAGCCTGCTAATCTTGTGCCCCTGAGCGCTCTTGGTCTCCTCCGGATCCAGAAGGTGCCGGAAGAGGCGCCAAGCGTTCGCACCACGCATCTGTCTCTAGAGGCCATTGCATGTATCTTCCCATTGAATGCGGCATCGTGAAAAGCATGCCCTTTTGTCTCCCTGTTCAGTTTCTATATGCACCTACGTAACGTCCTATCATGTCTTTGACGTTTTCTTCTCTTTAGCAAACACTGTTTGGCCTCCCACATGTGCAGGAGCCGACTATCTATCACGTGAAGGTTTGCCTCAGGAGGGATCTCATGCGTTGCTGCCTCCACGTCCGCCCTGATGGTCTCGGTCCATTCTTCAATGTTGGTTATTGGTTGGTCGCCTCGCTCACGTTCCTTGTGTGTCTTACGAAATGCATCCCATTGCACAAGACGGAGCCTGCGTCCTCTGGCCTTCCCTTCGCTCTCGAAGTGACACCCGCTAGCTCGCGATCCCGTGTCTATTTTAATCTCTATCAAGCAGTTATCACTTCCGAGATCCTCCTGCATGTTGCGCTACTGCGCGTTGGTTAGGTTCGCCAGGAACGCCAGGACCGGTAGCGTGTCTGCGCAGGCGCTGTTGCTCCTTCGCGTGGGATTGGCAGGGTTCGCGATGAGCTCTAGTCGCTGGTCTGCCGAGTCCTCCCACAGGAGCCTGCCCTTGGGTGTTTCTCGTGAATATCCCCAGGCCGCGTGAGGTGCGTTGAAGTCTCCCGCAACGAGTAGCGGCTGATCACCGGTGACTGCAAGTACCTTACGGAACAGCTCCCCAAATCTGTGCTGCAGTGAGGGCTTGCTGTATACGTTCAATACTAATAGTCCTTAACCCATCCTCAAAATTATCTCTACGAACACGTGCGGTACCTTCACCACTTGAAGCTCCGCCACTGTGAGGTTGCTACGAACGAGCACCGCAGCGGCCGGTGACGTCACCCCGACACCAGTCGACGCAACTCGGCGTCTTCTTTTTCTGTGCTCTTCGTTAGACGCGGCCGCATCTATGGCTTTGTAGACCGCTAGTTTGACCTGGTCATTTGTCTAAGGTGTTGTGGCTTTTTATTCCTGAAAGCATATGCGCGATTTGTCTGACAACCTGAATGTCTAAGACAACCTTCACATTAATGGTCAGTGTAAGGTGTAGATTATTGATGTTAGCGGAAATGCAAACATGTCGCAGTGGTCGTGCTTTAACAAAGTCGACTCACCGGCACGTGCACACCGTTCGCAAACTTGCGGTTGACCATCGACTAATCCTGATACTCAAAAAAAAAGATCACAGCATATCTACGGAGTGAATGATGACGAGTGGGGTGAAGCGTCCATCAGTCCGTGCGTGCTTCCATTCGTCCATTCGTTTTTGCTTCCATCCGTCCATGTGACGATTTATCCTTGCAACCGTCCGCTACCGTCTGGGCGACCACCTGTACGTCTGTCCATCCGTACGTCCATCTGTCTGTCTGTCTGTTCGTGCATCCGTCCGTTTGTCTGTCCGTCCATCCGTCAATCTACTGAATACTTCAAGTACGCCATCTCGCATATTTTCATCATATATTCATCATATACAAGTACTGTCATCCATCGGACATTCCAAGGACTACACTAGAGATGGCTACTGCTACAAACATGGGACGTATGACCCACGTCGTAAGGAGTTTCCCCCTTCAAAAAAGGATGCCTTTAAACAACTTGGTTGTTATTGACTTTGTAGTGTTTCCGTGGTTGATATGCAGTGTGTGGTCAGTAATGCAACATGTGTACACTATCACGGTTTTTCTTGCAGTCGTCACCTTGTAACCGGTGTGGAGCTGTGCATGTGACAGATATAATACCGTATTTACTTGAGTGTGATGCAAGGTTTATTTTTCATGTGTTTACCCTCGCATACCGAGTAAGAAATTCTGATTTTGTTTCACTGGTCGTAATAAAAAGACACCCCGCGCGTTACGATCGCGGTCGTGTTACAATGGAATATATAAGGTGGCTGTAATATACGGTATGATGCTTGCGCAACGTAAGTTTTCATGTGCTTTCTTGAAAGTTTGCAACAAATTTTATTTAAACGCTTGTGATATTTTTCAGAACACCAACCCCTGTGCTCTGATGGAAATCGACGCCGGGAAGCGTCTACGAGGCAACTATGCATGGTCTGGATTATTTTTTCCTGTTAATAAAACATTTTGTGATTGTGAATTCGTGAATACAACGATGATTTTTGTCTCGAAGATTCTTTCTTCTCGTCCGATCATCACACAAGCCGGCATGGTTCACGTTAGCAATTATATGTACGTGCGAATGTTTCCGGCCGCGCTCGGCAGGGCGGCGCTCTATGTGCACAGAAACTAAGGTTCCTATATATAAAAAGGTAGCGACAACTACACGCGCGCCCTCTAGAGGGGTCCAAGAAGCAGCGCTAGCAGACGATGCTCTGCTCAATCGCGTGCATTTTGCGGATGGCTGAAACCACTCTCAGTACGCGTGTGAACCGGTTAATTATTGCCCTTTGTGGCGTAAGCTGCCCAGGAAACTTCAAGCAGTAGGGACAACGACTAACGGTCCCGGGGAGCGTGAAGCTTTGCAATAAAACGTTCGTAGTTTCGAAGCATCTCATTCTATTGAACGGTGTTTCACAGCGGTAGTCATACGGCACTTTTTTACGGTCGTTTGCACGATCTGAAATTCAGCTTACATTGAAGTAGAGATGATATTTGGGTGAACTGAAAGTGCTTGTTTTATAGTTCAAAAATATCGGGGGTTGTGAGCTTACCGAAACTTTCGGAAGCATCATTGCACACTGATTGCTTCTAGTGGTGCGCAGCGAGTTACGTACGCTCTTATCGCGTTTTTCAGTGCTCGGCAGTATTCCCGCGGTCTTTTAACGCCAACCGAATTATTTGTATACACAATACTCTAAGAGCTTTATTTCGGATAAAGGATTTCGCTGCATCTTCCGCTCTTTTTGTTTCGGCCGATGAGTAAAGATGCTCGGCGTGGCATACGGCTTCAGTTTCTTCTGGCCAGAGCTTTGTAGGATTATGGCTCAAATTCTTCAACATCAAAGTGGTCCTGTAAAAAAATATGCAAAGTGCTTAGACAAACAAGCCTGAATCGACCTCGCGCAGAGCTTCGCTGCAAAACACAGCAAGGCATGGCAAAACAAAATAAATAAGAAATACCAAGAACGGACCTTTTATTGTAAGTTTCAAGTTTTAAAGCCACCCGAAAAAGATCTGAGAATAACAGCCGCCTCTGTGTGGTTCGGGCACGTGGTAATAGCATCATGAGTACCTTGAATTGACAGAATAAAAGCAGCCTCTGGCACATTGACACATTTACATCTATGCCCACGTGATCTGGGAAACCTTGCATGAACAGGAAAACTGCGATAAGCTCACTTATATATGCTGTCGCATCTAAACATTATAAAACGATGCCCACACCTGAAAAATAACTTTATGTGACACGCCCTGATGCGTAATGCACAAACGAAAGGCTGTTTCAAGCAGACGGGTCAAAGCAACTAAATGGCAAGGGGCACTCTGCATTGCTCTAGGCTTTTCTATTCAGTGCTGAGCCAACACATTAGTCGTTTACCCTTTACAAAGTTTGCATTATGATGACATAAACAAACGCAATTTTATTGGGGTCTCGAGCTAATCACTGTGAGAAATACGGGATGTGAAACGTAAATAACTATAATGCACAAATCAGCCGCATCAAAAACGCCAAAAAAATAACAGCGTTGTTGAGATAATGCCCATGAAACAGTATATAAACGAACAAAGGCACGCCAGCGAGGCACATGGCTGGCTGAAATCTACGACAGTAATTACATTTTATAAAAACCACGAAGTCACTTACCTCGCATAGCGGGGTATTTTCAGTGGGCACGAAATCCTTGCGCCCGATTCTGTGGAGCCATATCTTCCGTCTGCGGATGTTATCATCACCGCGAGGAATAGAAAAGAACTTCTTTCCATCCGTCGTATGGTTGCGACGACCAGCATGCTAGCCCGGCATGCTAGCGTGTCATGCTGCAAACGTTGAATAAAAACACGTAATTTCCGCGTCCACTCAAGGGAAAGGTAAATAAGCACTTCTACGTAGCAAAAACAATCCATCATAGGCGCAAGAAATGTTTTTTACTTACCGAAACGTCCAATTCCACGCTCGGAAACGCAAACAACCACGCGATCCGCATGCACAGCGAACGACTGCTGTGCCCTTAGGGCGGGGCGCGAAGGAGAAAAGGTCACGTGTCGCCAACCGGCCCATCGCGTGGCGAGGCGGCTGGATCAAGACCTTTCGCTACTTTTCGTAGATAGAGGGACTTTAACAAAAACTGCAGCGCTGTTTCCCCATAGGCTTGTGTAGAGTCTTACTATAGGCAGCATTTTCCTGAAGTTTATTTAGAAAAATGATAATCTTTCTTGGGGTACTTCAACGCAAAGCTTTCGGTCTGTCTGTCTGTCTGTCTGTCTGTCTGTCTGTCTATCTGTCTGTCTGTCTGTCTGTCTGTCTGTCTGTCCTCTGAAACGAAACCAGAAATGGTCAAAATTCAACCCTATCCGCAGCGCCCACCAATATTACTCAAGTTTCAGCGTTCGTACTTGTGCGATTGTCAACTAAAAGCAATGATTTTGCATATCTGAGAAAAAATAACAACACTTCAATATTCTGTACGTGTCTCTTTATACAAGAGAGGCATACGTAGATAATAAAAAGGACAGTAGCGTTTATCATGCTGCGCTGACAATGCAACGCTATGCACAAAAAGGCAAGTGTTTTCAAAGCTTTGCTAAGACGACAAGGTGGTGGCACGAGCCCGTCACTTAGCGTTCTACACCTTATCGCCTCCAAGACAGGCGCACTTGCCAACCTTCGTTTTCGAAGATGACTGCCAGATAGCGCTCCTGTCTCACGTGCCTCGATGCACTCGTTTGCCTCCGCTTCACGGATCGAGGCACTCTAACGTAGCGCCTCCAGAATACAATTCACCGATTTTCTCACGCAGAAAATCAAATTATCGTTTCTTTCAGTCTCTCCAGTTGCAAGACTAACGTCTTTCGACGACATTAACAGCGAAACATGCGGATACGGGGACATTTCTTTTCTTCCATTACAGTATCAAGGTTTATGGTTCAGGTGTACGGATTTGTCTAGGATCACACATAGCTACAAACATTTTCAGCACGGCCAGACGAGGCTCTTTTATAACGATCTCGAATAACGGCGCATGCGTAGTACGTCTATTTATGGCGCATTTCAGGGTGTAAAATGTTGCTAGGACGCTTTTAATTTAAACTTTGTGCTGTTAACTCATCAATAACTGTAGCTTTCCACGGCTCCTTTTGCAGCTGTTGCAATGGCGCGTGCCCGGCTTGACATCAATTAAAATCAGCTGTCTATAGCTTAGCGGCGGGTCCCGTTGCCGAACGCGGCTCAGAGGTGGCTTCTTTGCTGCTACTGATTCAACGTATGCGTAGCTTAGCATTGATGTCATAACAGCTGGCATGGTTCCGAGGCGAGGCCAGGTGGTGGTTAAGCAACGGTGGGGCAAGGTTTTTTACGCGGAAAAGCTGTATTGATTACATAGTTAACCGCTTCGCAAAAAAAAAGCAAGGAAAGGGACGGAGTGCTTCTCATAATGACCTGCCTTTGATATTTGACATTTCTGATATAAAGAAACAGCCAAGCTTGCGCGGAACGCACAGCACAGTCACAGCGAAAGCTGGAAGAGCAGCTTTTCAGAACCATTTTTAAACATTCTCTGGGTAAATCTCACAAGCACACTTGCAGGGTACCCGCTACCGCATACATCATCATTATTTTTTGTTATAGCGACGCAGTCACTATGCCATCCCTCGTATTTGTCGGAGATAGGCGATACCCACTCCACGCTTGCAAGGAATGTTCTGCTTTTTCATGCTGTGGCCCTTGACGATGAAGAATAATGCCTGAAGCTTTCGTAATGATTTGGAGAATTCGATGACCTACTTCTAACACAGTTTAAATTGTATGCTTGGCCATTCCTTCGCTGTTCTCAAACGCTTTATTAGTGGTACTACCCAGATTCCTTTCTCGACATTAGGTCTGCCTATGGCCAATTTGCACTGACTTCCAAGCGACGTCGTGGCTCAGTGGTAGAGGGCTGGGCTGGCATGTAGGGGTCAAGGGGGTGAGCTTCATTGTGTCTCTAGTGTTCTTATTTAGTATTTTTTGCTTCTTTCGCGTGATAGTGGTTACAGACACCGGGGGCGGCAAACAACACTCGACCTTTGTTGTGACCCCATAACAGTTTTCGCTGTAAAGGAGGAGAAGGCTGTTCTTGGCGATAATTTGGTAAATCAATGAGGCAGTCTTTGCGTCGCCCTCCCTCCTATGTGCATAAAGTGGTGGGGGTAGGGGGTATGAGACCTTTTTACCCCATCGTTGGAATGTCTGGGGCTTTTCTAGTGCCATTTCTAAACCCTTATCATCATCATCATCAACTCATAGTGGGAATGTCTGTGGCCTTTCTAGGGCCACTTCTAAACCCTTGTCATCATCATCAGCCTGACAACGCCCACGGCAGGGCAAATGGGTCTCCCATGTTCCACCTATCAAGCCCACCTAAACCCTCTTAGGGCAGCTTATACGAGTAAACATGCCAAGTGTCTACTAACGCATATATTATATTTTGGGGAAGTTGGGAAGCATCCACTATGCCAATATTTCTCATTCTACAGATAAGTCAAGCACTCGCTATAAAGAGTGTTTCAAGAAATATGTCTAATATTGTTTAAAAAGCTGCAACAGACTATATTTGCTCGCTGTCTTCAGAGTTGCCTTTTCTCTAACGGCAGACGTCTTAAGAAGGTTGAAGACTTAATTTTCAATGAAAATTAGGACAGTAAACTAATTACCTTTTTATTACTGGAGTTCGGCAGTTCAGATAAATAGGAGAATTGAATTCCTTGACGTAAAAACTCATTGCTGCTTTGAGATTACAGAAAAGTGGCCCCTAGTAAAAACTAGGAGTTAAAGAAACTTTCCTGAATTTTGCGGTGAAACCGAAACCACAATTACGCCAAGATATGATGAAGGCCAGACTCTAGGCCGAAACATCAAAATAAGCCACGTTATGAGCGCTCACGCAGGATCTACTTGACTATATGCAACGCTACAGCCGCTCAACCACCATGCCTGCCTATATATATATATATATATATATATATATATATATATATATATATATATATATATATATATATATATATATATATGACGCTATGATGAATGGGAGACGTGGCCAGGCTCATACGCCATGTTTATTCTCTTCTGCACTTCTTCCTCCTCTGCCTCTACTACTAACTCCTAACCATCGCTACCTTCTTACGTTACAGGATTCCCCCTCCCCCCGAAAGAAGTCGCATCAGACGAACATAAATGAAAACTGAACATGCACGGCTTAGAACTGAACACTGTCAAAAAGAGAAGATCATTCCAAGTCCGAGGAAGTTTCCGTTAACACACTATAGCTTCACAGGAGAAGACAGCAATCCGGGGTATCAAGTACAGCTCTGGAGGGCGAGGCTGGCTGTTGCGCTCTGGACAACATAAGCATGCTTTAAGCGTGAAATCAGATGAAAACACAGCCGGTATTCTTGCGATGAATGAACGTGGTGTGATGGCCTTGAAGCATTGGCTGGATGATTTGCGCAGGTGTCGTGCTATTTGTCTTGATTGGAACCCATGCGTCGCCACCCATTTGCGTGCTTGTTGACCGAGGCTGGTGCGGTGATTTCTGCGTCCTTGCGGAATACAGGGTATGGTTTGGCGCCTTTCTCGACGTTGTATGTCGTGTTGCCTGAGTCTTGATCTCGACTGGAGAAAGCTTACTCGACGTCCCTTGGGAAAATATCCTGGATTCGATGCTTTCTTTGTTTCGAGCGAGAAATCTTGAATATGTCATTGGCTTGGTTGACATGTTTGTAAACGGCTTTCCATAAACCGCGTGTGTTCTTCCGAAGATGATTCCACTCGTCGTCGTCCTCGTTCGTATAGCCCTTGGAATCTCTGTTGTTTTTGGACTTGCTGGCATTGATGATGTTGCTGCGAAAAGACCTGAGGTGGCAGCCCTTTTTCACCATGACACTGACTTTCTGGGCAATTGAATGTGGTGTCGAGTGGGCAGGTAGTAGTCTCTAGGCTGTTGTGCTGCATTTCGGGTAATGAAGGTAATGCTTCAGAGTTGATAGATACATCATCAGGGGCTTCTTCTTCGCTGTTCGCTGCGAGTGGTTCTTGCGCCTGGTAGCATGCGACGTTCGATGCGTCTGAGCCTTCTGTGTTTGGAGTTTCTGATGGCTGCGCACTGGACGGCAACACCACAACAGGGGTCACAAAAGAGCCAAGCGATGGAAAACCAGGAGGCGGGCCAAGTCTGCGAGATGGGGAGTAAGCTGCTCCAATGGGTGAAGACTGATTTTCACTCTTTGAGTAATCTTGGTGTTGTTTGGTATTTTCCCCATGTGTCAGCTGGTCTACCATGAACAAGGCGTCCTTATGACACGAATAGTGACCGTTAGGAGCCTTTGAAGAGCTGCGTCGTAGAAAATCAAGTGGTGGACCATGTATGCGAGACGAAGCATGAAAGGCATCAGCAGGGTGAGTGACGTCTCGTGTCGTATGTTGGTGCCATGACTTTGGAAATGCCGACTTTCGTGCACAAGGGAGCTGCGCTTGACGGTTGGGTTTTTCCCAATATACGCATGGCCTTCTGTAAGTAAATGCATGTGCCACTTCGTCTTGAGGCACTTGTCGATTCGCGCTGGACTTTCGAATGGTTGAGGACTGCTTAAGGAATTGACGATAGTGTGCGGTTGTCTCTAGATGGTTGACATTGAGCAGGTCTTGGTCATAGTCGTTAAAACGGGTAATCATTTCCTCTTTAATTTTTTGCCATGACTTGTCGTTCTCGAATATGTGAATTAGGTAAAATTTAAATGCCTCACCGGTGACGTAGTCGCTGAAGTTCGTAACCATCTCCCATTCCGACCAAGATGCAGCGGTAGCGTGGAGTTCGAACAGGTCGAACCAGTCCTGTACGGGTCCATCGTCCGCTGATCCGGTGTACTTGGGGATGTCGAGGTCAGCCGATGGTTCTGTCATGGTGCTGGTCGTTGTCCTCCTAGGCGATGATCCGGTAGTAAATGTATGGTCAGGGCGTCTTCTGG